TTGATCGATTTCAGTTTCTGCCTTTGATCAACGATGACAGACGTGCGATTTGTCACTGCTGAGCGTAGAGATGGAGGTTCAGAGGGTCAATGTTGAAGAGCTCATCAGCAAACTGTCTCAGCAAAAGGCACGTAAAATGCTTGTAGAAACGTACAGACTGTTTCACAATTAGGGGAAATCTCGAAGCGCGTGGCACCGTAGTGCCGCCAGCGCTGGAACGACATGCCGTTAGCCGCTTGCACGTGCGCAGATGATTCAGGTGTGTAGTTTTGAACCGTGTCGTCTGCTACGGCAGCTCTCGCTTGCCGTACTGCTGGCCAGCGGGCGGATAAAATTGTTAGTGCAGGAACGGTGTCAATAATCTACACTAAACGTTGTGCGACGCCAACCTCTCAGCCTTTATTTGTGATAATGGGGTGCTACAAGCGGAATTTGACAGCATACCTTGTTTGCTCCCTCGAAAGGCCGTGATGTGTGCGTTCATGAATATTTCTTCACTGTGTGTGCACTGCGGTATGCTGGGACAAGACAGACACGACAATTAGCACGCAATGTGTGTTGTGTTGATTTGACTTAGAACAACAACAACAAAAAAAAACACTCATCATTAAGAGACATACTGCTGTGCTGGCTTAAAACAACAAAACAAATGGGAACACATTCAGTAATGTTTTAGGTGAGGACAGAGCCTAAGCGTATCTCCTTACGACATTTTCTTACAAGACTTGCTAGCCAGCTCCGAAATGTAATGTAGTTTTTAAAACAGAGTTGAATAATCTTGTTACTCTTCTCTAGTATATGGGAAATGGTAAACCAGGCTAACAATACAGTACTGCTCTTTTCAGACAAAAAAAACAAAAAAAAACATGGCAGATATGCTTGTGTTTTATTCAGCTCAATCTAGAATTCTGGATCTTGTGAAGCAACGCCCACATTGCAAACGAATGGGACATGCTGCGGCGAAACGCATCGCTGACACCATGCATTCACTGCCGTCTAGAATGAGCGCCATTATCGCTACCGCTGGGGACATGAACTTGGCAGCGTCCCGAGTGCATTTCGGTGCTGGGAGCGAGTCTTTCTGTTGTGATCAAATATCGTCGAGAATAAGCACGTTCCGGTGGTAGATATTGCTACGTGCCAGTGCATGGAGATGAAGAAGACAAAGCATATAGACTGGCGCGAGCTAATCCGTGTGGCTGGCGCTGCTCGCTTAACCGGCTGAAAATACATCTGTGACTACCTCTCCGAGTCGGTCTGATGGATCTTTCAGAGAGTTGAGCCAGCAGAGCTCGTGGTGGTCGGTAATTACCGAAAATGGGTGTCCATATAGATAAGGTCGAAATTTCGCCACCGCCCATACAAAAGCCAAGCACTCACACTCTGTGATCGAATAGTTGCGTTCAGGGGCGGATAGGAGGCGGCTGGCATATGCAATAACGCAATCATGGCCATGTTGTTTCTGAGCCAGCACTGCACCAATGTTATGTCCACTTGCATCTGTACGGATTTCTGTAGGGGCAGCAGGGTTGAAGTGTGCCAGAATAGGAGGAGTAGTGAGAAGAATTATGAGAGTCGAAAACGCAGAAGCCTCTTTGTAGCCCTATGAAAATAGGACGTCTTTCTTACGGAGCTGCGTAAGCGGCTTCGCTATGAGTGCAAAATTTTTCACTAAGCGTGGGAAGTAGCAACATACTCCGATAAAGCTGCATACATCCTTCGCAGATCGTCGTACAGGAAAGTTTTTGCCGGGTCTGGTTGTACACCGTTGGCGTCTACTAAATGGCCAAGTACTGTGATTTGATGGCGTCCAAAGTGACATTTGGACGTGTTGAGCTGCAGGCAAGCGCGGAGAGCTTTTCCTGTAGTGCTAGTCCGCAAGAAAGACGGTGCATGGCGTTGCTGCGTTCATTATCGACACCTCAACAAAATTGCCAAAAAAGACGTGTACCTTCTGCCACAAATAGATGATGCGCTTGATTGCCTCTATGGGTCCCACTATTTTTCTTCCATAGACCTGCCTTCCGGCTAGTGGCAGATAGAGGTAGATGAAATGGACCGTGAGAAGACGGCATTCATCACCCTTGATGGCCTATATCAGTTCAAGGTCATGCCCTTCGGCCTTTGTAACGCTCCAGCCACCTTCGAACGAATGATAGACTCCCTACTCAGAGGATTCAAATGGTCCACCTGTTTGTGCTACTTGGACGAAGATCGTCTTTTCACCAACATTTGAAACTTTTATAGAGCGCCTCTCAGCCATCTTAGGCATTTTTCGTTGCACCAGTCTATATGCTTTGTCTTCTTCATCTCCATGCACTGGCACCTACCAATATATCTTAAATCATTCCTGAATTCATTCCCATTTGATTTGTTGTGTTAAACCCATTCAGCTGCTCAGCAGTCACCACTGAGTGCTTTGTTTTACTTAAAATGAAATAGAGACCACACACGGTAAATGCTCATTATATAGTGTCTTCCTAATCCAAGCTTACTGTGAGGCGCACACACAATGAAGAAACATTTATGAACGCATATAGTGCCACGATGTTTCAATAGAGCGAACCAGGTGTTGTCAAATACTGCTTCTAATGCCACATAATCACAAACAAAGGCCAAGAGGTTCGCATTGCACGTTTAGTGCAGACAAGCGTTGACAGTTAGGCAAGTTGGTAAGTGAACCAGATCCCAAAAACTCAGCGCTAGATATCAATTTCAGGGACTGTACGCTCTTATCAGTTACAGGGCATCCCAATATCTGGTTCAAAGAAGGTTAATGTGGATATTGGCATTTGTTGTCTTTCACCGGTTTTTAATCATAAAGAATTTTGAATCATCTATAAAGAAGTAATTGTTTGGTCATTTGTCTTTTTTTTTTTTTACATGAATTTTGAATCGGGCAAAGGAGGCGTTGGCATGAGTTTCCGCCCCTTGTGGGAATATCTGAAAAACTCTGCTGCAAGACTGGACACGAAAAAAGAAAGCATGCGCGAGTTCGTCGTTCCTTGTTTATTCGTACTTCATCTTGCGGTGCAGATTTTTCTGGAAATTATTAGTGCAAAATATCGGCCCAGTTCCCGTAATAACAGTGATATCCGTGCGCAGGCTGATATTGTGGCACGTGCCTTGCCATATAGCAGACGATGCGGTTCACCTCTACTCCTGCACACGCGCGAGCTGCTGCCGGCGCGCGATCACAGCACTAGTTGCATCGCTATGCCAGGCGCTCCGAGATTTCCCCTAAGTATGAAACAGCTTGTACATATACCTTTTTTTCTACTTGAAAAAATATTGAAAACAGATATGTTAATAGGTATTCACACCCAATTTCAAGGTAACACTTCTGCTAAAAAATATCTAGATATTCTGCAGTTTAACCGCAGAGAAGACGTATGCATTGAATGGGTTTCCTTCTAGTATAGCCCTATCAAAGTAAATAATGCACGCAAAAATGTAACCATATGAATTACATATTTAAAGGTGAACGATTTGTGCATAAATGGAAATATGTGTGGTCATTTTTCGAGTGTTGTTCAAAACGTTTTCGTGAAAGTTCTACATGGACCTTTTTTTTATAGGCGTCACCTTTTCCAAAAGATCTGGCCCACCCCCTTCCGATATTCAAGATACTTTATTTTTAAACAATCCGTAATACTTGTGGCCAGTAGGCTTATACAATGTGCATAATAGCACTATATCGAATTGCTGCCTTAGAAGAGCTTAAATGTGTGTTGTTGTATGGAATCAAAAGTAGCTAGACAAATGGTGTAATTACTGCAAGTACATGCACACAGTTAGTGAAAACGGTCACCTGTCAACTTCGGCAGAACTTACACAGAGGCAACCAAAGCGTGGGCTACCGAATCAGTGAAGCTGAAGGAGATAGAGGACCTCTTTTTCACAAAGGTGCTCCCTGATTTTCGAGGGAAGATATCCTCTATTTAAATAAGAGTAAACAATGCTATAGCTTTAGACGAATGGAAGAAACGCACACGGTGCTTGGACAGCACTTCTAAGTGTCGTAAGCATTCCTTCTTTTTGTATTAACTTCTCGTACAATTTAGTCTTCTTTCAGTATGATTCAACGAACCAGACAAATATTAATGCTGTCTATGTGTCTTTGCCTCCTGATATGGTTAATCATTACGATGACAATCTCTCCACGTGCTCCGCAAGAAAGAAAACCCCCAGTTGATAATATTTACCAGTCCTGAGAGGCTTAGAATAAATGTGGCTCGTGTTCTTCGCAGCTAAATCAAAAAGGCGTCAAGTCTCAAGCATGACCAGATGACAAAGGGGAAAGAAAGGGGGTGGGGCGAGAGCCACCCCCCCCCCCCCCTTATTATTTCGAACAGGGCCCTCCGCACTGTTAATCTGCCCCTAGCCATACCATAATGTGGACAGCAACTCCCTAGCCTACCATTCTGAAAGGGGGGAAAAAAAAAAACACACATACAAGTGCAGGGACGTACTGATAAATTTTAGCATTACTCACTGCTCGTGCCACTAAAAAAAAAATCTGAATTGTAAGCAAGGCGAGAGCTTTAGTATTGTAGACGAAGAATAAAACATCGCAAAAGACTGGACGATACGAGGACACACAGCACTGAACTTTAGTATTGGTTGGTTGAATTATTCTCAGATTATACTTCATTCAACGTAAAAAAAAAGCAGAACTATATGGGTTAACTTTCTTATGAACTAGTCCATATATTGTGACATGTGGCAACAGGCTGTCCACGGATAAAAGCTACGAAATTTTGATCAATTACAAAAGTGCTGTCAAAGTATTTTTTAAATAATGTTTTATTGCATATTACATTTTTTAGCTATACGTACCAATTTTTCACAGTATATATGCATTTTTTGCCTTTCGATCTTTTGTAACAGCTGCCCAGAACACCCTATAGGCCTACTGGGAGGATACACTTCACTTTGTGATTATATTTCACTAGAAACAAATTAAGTTTGCCTAAATAAGTCACCATGATCTCTTGCAGGTCACCTGTAAGCATTTTTTCAAGCAGCTGAAAAGTACAGCTCTGCAAAAGTGGAACGTTCTCAAGAAAGTACTCCAACTGAACTTGGTATTTTTTTTTTTAAACATCCAAGTGGCATGTTTCACCCAAGATATGTTTCAATAAAGTGAAGTGACACTTTCTTGATTTTTCCTTTGGCACCATCGAGCCAAAATGAAATACAAGGAGTCGCACTGAGACCAAGCACAAACTATCTGCTTCATGAAGTATGTATTTACAACAATCTCATTCGGTACTGCATCACCAGTAAATCTGAATGAATCGGCAAGCTTCATCTGCAGGAAATTTGCAGACAACCAAATCTGCTGTCATAATGTTCTTTTATCTCCTAGTACAAAATACGCAATACATTCCTTTTAGACTTGCCAACGATACTGCTAAACTAACCTGCTTTTATAGATGCATTTGTCTGTATGATTTTCCCGATATCCAAACGATGTCACTGCACCACACTGATATCCAACGAAGCATAAACTGTGTCCATACACTATTACGGCCATCAGCAGATCAAAATCTCAAACGCACATTAACTTGTGCCTAACACATGACATCAAATACATCTTTCACGTTGCTGCTGAATAGTGCACCAGCATAAGTGCTGTGGCAGAGCACTGCAGAGATAGAAACCATAGATGTTTAGAATGACATACTTTAATAAGAACGAATGACATAGATACAAAAGATTTGGTGGAATGACTCCCTGCAATATAAATATGTTAACAGCACTTAGATGGTACACAAAAGGCATACAACACATGCTAAACATGAGCAGCTATTTATTACGATACCTACAGCAAAAATCACTATACGGTCGAACACGGTTATATCGAACCCACATATATCGAATTTTTTGGTATATCGAACTCGCAAGTTATCCCCTTGAAATTTCTTTGTAAAAATATAGAATTTCGCACGTTTATATCGAACAGTATTGTTACCCACCTTCGGAAATGACGAACGCCGTGCGAGGTGCGCACGGCGTTCGTCATTTCCAATGACAATCCGCCGACAATCCGCCGAGGCGCACCTCGGCGGATTGCCGAGGTGCGCCTCGGCAATCCCCCGATCCCTCCCTCCCTCCCGCGATCTCCACGGCAGCGCAGCTCCGCGCGCTAGTTGGAAGGCACGCTTTGGCACAGTTCTAGGGGCTTTAGGCACTCGCAGCGTCCGGCGACTACTGCACGGCAGTATGCCTCCACCAAAACCCAAAACGCTCGAGAAAAGGGCGAGAGGGCTCAGGCTGCACAATCCCCAACGTGCGAAAAAGCTTTTTTTTTTTTCGTTTCCAGAGTTTGTACAGGTTTCCAAAGAGAAAAAATCGAGGATATTCAAGGACTTTTCAGGATCTAATGCAAGTTTTTCAAGGATTCAAGGTGGCAGGCTAAGTTGGAATTATTCACTCTAAAATTTTCAAAAATGACCACTTTCATTGCATTTATAATGCACGGATATCGCAATTATAAAGAAAGTGTAGTTCTAATAACTACTGACACCCTCTCCATAGAAAGAGGGCACGATGTCATGTCCTTAAAAGTTACGCTCTGATGGGCTTCCACACGCATGTGTAGTCAGGCCTTAAAGGGGTCATTCCACAATATTTGTGGCTTGCGTGTTCTTTGCTGCAAACTTTAATTATAGCTCTGCACTGATTGATTTGTGGGGTTTAACGTCCCAAAACCACCATATGATTATGAGAGACGCAATTATAGCTCTGCAGATGTCATCCGCGTTCCAGCGTTCATAAAGCTCATTTATCCTTTCACGTGAGGGGGGGGGGGGGGGGAGAGGCGCCACAGCTGGCACAGTGCCAGGCAGCTTCGATGGTGACGGCAGATTGTGGGCCTAAATAGCTTCGCTCCTAAACAAAAAAATGTCTACAGGTTATAAACTACAGTTCCTCATCTGTGCACGAGTAGCAAATTACTAGAGCTACTTTGAACTGCAATTCTGACAAATTGCAAGCAACATTGCATACTGCTAAATTTGGCCTAATCAGCACAAACTCTGTCAAATGTGAGCTATAGCTTATTGAATACTGATTTTGGCTTAATAAATGAGATATTCGCCTTTTAACCTAGTACATACACTTTGCAAGACTACAGCATGCCCCTAATAGCACCTTCCACAGTGTTTTGCATTTTGTCTGCCTCAGTGCTGTTAACATCTCACCATGACTGTAAGCAAAACAACTTCTAACTAAAATAATGCAATTAGCCGAGAAAAATATTTGTCTACATTGAGTGCTTTTCCATGCAACGTACGAGAATTGGAACCACCCTTTGCACACAAGTCCACTACTCACATTGCTGCATCTGCATATTCTTTTGCACACAATGAAAAGACTGTGCAAACGGTCATTTCTGACAGTTGAACATCATACCCAGAATGGGGAAACGCTAAAATAATTGACAGCGGTCAGAGAAGCCCTGCAACAGTAGGTATTTAACAAATGATTGAGCTTCAGTTCACAAGGTGTTCACACACAAAAAAACAATTTGATTTTCATAAATCGGAGACCTCAGCCTTATGCATAAAAAGCACTCACCCGTGAGCTTCATTCTGAGACCTATCCAACACTCTTTACATGATGACATACACTAAAATCTCTAGAAAAAGGATCCACTACATAGCCATGAAACTCTTGTCACCTCTGCCATCTGTCTTCTATTTTTATTTATTTATGCTGTTGCATGAGGAAAGATTACTTCAGTTACAGAAAAAAAACTAGATATCAGTTGCCTTTCAAAAACTCTAGAGACCACATTTGGAATTCCACCAGTAAAAGTAAATACATCATACTGCTACACGATTGGCCAGCTTATGGGTATCACACATGTCGATTCAATTTTGTGCATCAGTGTTGAAATGAGGAAAAGCCTCACAGCAGCTGCAATAGTGATTCAGTCCATCTCAATGTAATATCATAAGAAAAAAAACACAAAAAGCTCTCATGAAGCATCTTCACTAATCTTAAACTGATTATGTACATGAAATGGAAATAAAAAATGGTAGAAATATCCTGGGCACAGTTCACTAGGCACTTGGCCCCATTCACATGTTCTGTACGCTCATAATTAGTGTGATGTTTTCGCCCTTCAGAAGGATCCGCCCTAAAAAGAGAAAAACAAGAAAATTACTCAATATTTTTTTCTAGATGACTTGTGGAGCACTTCAGCAAGCTGCATGATATAAGGTAACTTTCAATGTACAATTATTTGTTAAACAATTTAAATGGGGCAAAGGGTGACAGTAAAGGAATAATAGGCAAAGTGTAGACAGACAGAACGCCTTCTCTAAAACATATTCTTAATGCACGGCTGTTGCATTACAAACGCATTCCTTTTGAGGAAGCAAACTATGCGTGAAAATGCATTATACCAAAGCCATTTCACATAACCTAATGGTGGCTATAGTACGGTTGACAAATTTGTATGAAAAAAAAAGAAGCAAAGACTCGATTTTAGTCCTTAGCTATGAAACCAAGGATAACAGAGGGAGGTTAGTTGTAGTGGATATGCAAATGTAGAAACAAGACTGTGCTTTGCCAAAAATTTATTTTCTATATTGGTGCGAGTAATTGTAGATGAGAATCACTTTCATTGAGTTTGCCAGTTTTTATGCTTAGCAAATAAAAATTATCTAAATGCATTTCATGTAAATGCACATTACATGCAGAGTGTGGACACATTATGTGCCACAAAATCAAGGAATGACCCTGGGCTTTTCCAGACCTCTCCAGTAACTCAATCACTCTTTGTAATGTGACCATAGTACACTTGATGTCACTGGAAGACGCTCTCAATTAGTCCAATAAGAACCTACGCCTTCTGGTTCATCAACTAGAAAATCTCCATCTAGTTGTTCGCATGCTTGCTCTACCTCATCTTAGCAGTTTTCACACCACTTTATTTTGCTTCATTATCTGCTGATTTTAGTTAACATTGTGTCATATCAAAGAAATGAGACCTCGAAATTTCCCTCTTCATTCATTCCCGTAGCTGTAATTGAATAATTTCCGGGATTTAATATCCCCAACTACAATGTGGTTATGAGACACCGTAGTGGAGGGCTCAGGAAATTTCAACCACCTAGGATTCTTGGGGAACATGCACCTATATCTCGGCACACGAGCCACTGCCATATTTGGCTCCATCAAAAATGCAGCCTCCATGGCCAGAATTCGATACAAAGATTTACAGGTCAGCAGTCAAGTAAAACGACTAAACAGCCACGGTAATTTGGTCTGGAATAAAAATTGCAGTTGATGTTTTTGTTGCCTGGAGCCGACTGATCAGACAATTAGCTCACGTGACCTTTGACCTGTGTGTGACGCTTGAGCCGTAAGTGGCATGACAGCATAATTGCTTTGTACCTAGGACAGCTCTTGGACAGTAAGTATTGCACCGTGTTTAAAGATGGAGAAATGCCACAGCATCTTTGAAGCACGAGCCACGGTAGCTTCACCGGAAGCAGATGCCATTGTGAAACAAGAATTGATGGCGAATATGATGCTCGTAGTGACACAGTTGAAACATGTCATACAGAGGAGCACTCTGCAATGGGCAGAGTGCTCATTTCAAGGGTGAGAGTAGCAAATAAAAGCTAGAAATGAGTAGCTGCCATGTTACCAATCATGTAACACTATAACAGCATTGTTCTGAAAGATTCTCGCCGCTTCATTTTTATTGTAGTCTGGTTTACAACTGCCACTGTATCAAAATTTTTAACTTCTAGTAGGCCTAAGGCCCTTTGAGGTTTGTTGTCAGGCGCAGCTGGACAAGCACTTTCATTGTTGATTCAAGCATGTGCTTCTCACAGCATCATTATATACCATCTCAAAACTAGTACCTAACCTTCCTTAACTTAGTCCTTGCTTTTATTGGTTTCAGACCAGAACCAATAGACAGTAGATAAAGGTTCCAGTCTGCAAACGGTTAAATGTGGAGACATTAGGCATTCTTAAAAGTAAGTGAACACTCGTATGCTTATGCTTCACACCTATTTTACCTTTGTTATGAAATTCTTTCGCTTTTTATCCCAGAAATATGTCCTAGATGAAATGCAAGCCACAGCTGTAACTGTTCTAGCAGTGGTAACCAGAGCATAGCCAAAACTTTTTTTCATTGATTGATATGTGGGTTTAACGTCCCAAAACCACCATATGATTATGAGAGACGCCGTAGTGAAGGGCTCCAGAAATTTCGACCACCTGGGGTTCTTTAACGTGCACCCAAATCTGAGCACACGGGCCTACAGCATTTTTGCCTCCATTGAAAATGCAGCGGAGATTAGATCCGGCGACCTGTGGGTCAGCAAAACTTTTTTCGGGCAGAGAGGGGGGCGGGGGGCGGTCATTCATGTTTCATGTATGTGCATGCATTTGTAAGTGAGTGTATATACGCAAGTAAAATAGAAAATTTTCAGGAGGTCAGCATGCCGCCCCCCTCCTCTAGCTGCACCTCTGGTGATCACTTTCAGTTGCGTGAAGCATTAAAAAGGAACAGCAACAGTAATCAGCCGATGTCTCCTACTTGTCATGAAGTTTGATAATGTGCAAGGAAAGAAAAGCGAAAATCGCTCAAGGTGTACTCATCCGTGCTGCAACTGCCTGCTCAGTGTGTCTGTGCACATGTTTGGTCATTAAAGGCAAGCAGACGACAACACGGTGCGAGGGGGCACTGCCCAAAGCTGGTGCCATGTATTTACTAACCCTAAAAAAAGAAAGGAAAAGAAAAAAAAAAACAGCTGTCACAACTAGCACAATACTAATTCGCTGCTATCCCACTTAAGCCTTTGTAAGCTTGAGAAAAAATTTCCACTGCGCTTTCGAAAGGTGGCTGTAGGGCCACAATGCCAATGAAATTTCTTACAATTTTTACAAAAACTTCTGAATTTTCCTATCACTCATATAAAAAAAAAGACACCATTCAAAATGCTAGGTAATTTTCTTGAGATTTCCTAGAAAGGCTACTTTAACACCCAGTCATCATGTGCTTGTACAGCATTTAAACTAATACATGCATCAAAATGCAACCTTTTATCAAGCTGGTATGTTTTAGCAAAGCCTAACAGTGAATAACGGTTCATGAAAGTATTTTTCTTAATATCACATACCTCTTGAAAAGTTGGCAGATATTCAGGGACATCAATATTCTACCATTTTAACAGAAAAAAAAAATCAACAAAGGAAAGCTTTTTATATGCAGTGAAGTGAGCTTTACAGGAACAGACCAAAGTCCTACGGTTCCTTACGAGATCTGAAGCTACAGATGATGCTTCCTGCTGAAAATCGGGTGCGCACAAAATTCCCCTAAACAACTTCAAAAGTGTTCCTCTGTGCTGCCTGTTTCAGCTGTGTAACCACAAATATCCACTGATGAGATCACACATTGGTGCCTTCATGAGTCTGTAGAACAATGTTTCGCCATTTTTTTTTGAAAGCACTCATGACTCAGCGGCACATATTCATCCCACTTTTTTTAGTAAAGCACTGGTTTCATAATGATAAAATTTGTTCTATACAATTTTATTGTCCTTTATATGTACAGTCCTAGTAAAATGTACTCAAGCCGCGCTTCCGTAGAAATACATGAGACAGTGGCCTGGGAACTTTTGACCCAGGTACATACACACCACAGCCAGTTTTTATATCATGTCAATAAGATAAGCAAATCTACAAAAGGTAAATTTATCATGCACTCTGTGGCCAATAAGTTGCTAAGTAACGGTTTCATTCGGTTTACACTTGTGTCCTGGTGCTTCCACCGCAATGCATTCATGACTATGATGAATGTGATGTGGCTATGAATGATGTATCTGCAGGTCATGACAATATAAAATCTGTCCCCATTAGGTGCATTGTGCTTTTGATGTCATATATTTTGAGACAGTATCACAAGCCTTATGGGCGTTTATGTATAAGAATGTCTGAAATTTTCGACGCTGGAACTCTTCGGCGTATGATTTTTTGGGCTTTCAGCCGATATTACAGGTATGAAACAGCATTACTTAAAGTCCCTACCTTTGCTACGTCTATGACCTCGTAGGCTTAAAGGAACACTTTCAAGAGTTGTTTGGTGTCGCAGCAATTTCCAAATGTCAGCTTTGCAGCAATCCACAAGTGCTATGGAGTGAAGCAGATAAATTTGAAGGGGCCAGTATCATCTCGCATTGAGGTGATGTATAACGGATAAGCACCGGAAATGCTCGAAGGCGTGATAGCGGCAATGCGGCAAACAAGCCAGTAAGACTTACTCGCTTTATGGTGCATCTTCAACTAACTGCTTGTGGCGCAGTTGGAGTACTGCACACTTTTAATCACTCACCCGTGCCGCCGCCCACGCTGCCTTTCTGTGCAAGCCAGCTAAGTGCGCCGCACAGACGCAGTTGCCTTCATGAACAAAATCAGCCCGCTATCGCCGCGCCCGTGTGCGATCAGGATTCGAGTGGGCATCAAGAACACACTTTTATAACAAACACGTGCATACAAAATCACCCCAGAAGGAGCAGCGTCAGCTGTGCAGACGATGTGCTGCACACAACTAGGAACAATCGGTCAAGTGTGGCAGCAAGTGCTATGCATCGCCGGAGATTTTCGTACAGTGGTGCATCTTGTCAGTGCAACATGCATCGCGGAGGTCCAGACAAGAATTCCTCTATTCCGCCACACCCTTTATTTTCTGCGTCATGATTTCCACATGCTCCATGCAATAAATCCGCAACTTGATTTATTTGTGGGGTTTAACGTCCCAAAACCACCATATGATTATGAGAGACGCCGTAGTGGAGGGCTCCGTAAATCTAGACCACCTGGGGTTCTTTAACGTGCACCCAAATCTGAGTACACAGGCCTACAGCATTTCCGCCTCCATCGGAAATGCAGCCGCCACAGCCAGGATTTTATCCCGCAACCTGCGGGTCAGCAGCCGAGTACCTTAACCACTAGAACACCGTGGCGGGGCAATAAATCCGCAACTTATTCCATGCTTTGCTAGTATCAGCGGCACTCATCACGCAAAGCATATTTGCAAATGGACGTCGGCAGGCCCTCAATGTATTGACGACAGACTAAGCGTGCACCGAAATGCCCGATAATTGTACTCTAGGAGGC